AATTCAAATGTATCAATTATTCTGTTTTTCCTTGTTCATTGTTTAACTTTCACATGTATGTTATCATTGTTGCTGTTAAGTTCCATTAAGTCAGTTCCAATATGCAGCAACTCCATAGAGGGTTTCCAATACAGTAAATCTTTTACCAGAAAGGTCAAAACAACATGGTATTGGTACGATGAAGGACAAATACATCAATGGAACAGAACTGAGAACCACGAAGTAAATCCATCCAAATATAGTTGGATCTTTAACAAAGAGCCAACATACATTAAATGGAGAAGAGATAGTCTCTTCAACAAATGATACTGGCAAAACTGGAAATGGATTTGCAAAAGAATGAAATAAGACCTATACCTTACACCATAGAACTCAACATGGATTAAAGATTTATATGTAATTTCCAGAACTATGAAGATTATCAATGAGAATATAGAAACAAAAGTAAGGGTTCTAATATATGGCATACATAGACTATCAAACATGGCAAAAAAAAAAAAAAAAACCTCACACAAACATGAGAGGACAAATTAGATAGCTAGAACACACTAAAAATTAGAAATTTATGTGAATCAAAGAATGCACCAGAAGTGTTAAAAGGGAACCTGCAGATGGGGAAAAATATTTTTTCACAACACATGACACAAGGGACTAATCTCTAAACTGTATAGGAAAATACAACACAATTTCAAGAAAAAGGCAAATAACCTTATTAAAAAATGAGCACAGCACATGAATAGACACTTCTCCAAGGAAGACAAACTGGCAGCAAGCAAACATATGAGTAATCATTAGTCATTGTTGTTGCTGTTGTTAGGTGCCATCCATTCAGAACCTACTCATAGGGACCCTATGCACAACAGAATGAAACACTGCCCTCTCCTGGGCTAACCTCACAATTGCTGCCATGCTTGAGCCCATGGATTCTGCCACTTGGCCAATCCATCTCCCTCGGGGTCTTCTTTTTCTCTGACCCTCCTCCACCTTACAAAACATGGTACCCTTCTCCAGAGATTGGTCCCTCCTGACAATATGTCCAAAGCATGAGAGATGAAGTATGGCCACACTGGTCTCCAAGGAGCACCCTGGCTGTACTTCTTTCAACACAGATCTGTTGGCTCTTTGGCAGCCCATGGCACTTTCAGTATTCACTTCCAACACCATAACTCAAAAGCATCAATTCTTCTGCAGTCTTCCTTATTCACTGTTCTGCTTTCATATGCATATGAGGTTATTGAAAATACCATGATTTGGTTCAGGTGCACCTTAGTCCTCAAACTGACATCTTTGCTCTTCAACACTTTATAAAGGTCTTGTGCAGAATATTTGCCTAATGCACTACGTCGTTTGATTTCTTTGTGTGTGTGTATGTGTGTGTGTAGTTTGTTTATTTATTCATTTATCAAATGTTTGTTGTGAATTATGTGATAGTTTATGTGGGAGAACATTAGCTTTACATTCATCTTATCATATATAGTTTCATTGGCATTGTTACAATCCCCTCCATGCATCATCAACCAACCAAAAGATATACCATGCAAGCCTATCACCCCGACCCCACCCAGGTCCTCA